AAAAAAAAAAAAAAAAGGCAGATTGCAGATCCCACCTCCATGGGACACATGGTCAGGGGTCTCAGGTGCCCCCAGGAAATTCTTAGGTACCAGGGAGAACCTCTGTCATTCAGTGTTTCAGAACCTTCTCCAAATCTGTTGGCTGCCCCCTCCTGGGGCTGTCATCAACAGGCAGCAGCATTTTCTCTCATGGCAGCTGCTCCCATGTGGTGGTGCTGGGATATGGTGCCCAGCCCAGCCCTTGCCCCAAGCAGGTTTTCCCAGAAACCTAGGGAGGTGTTATTGACCCCATTTTACAGGTGAGGAAAATGAGGCCCAGAGACATCCTAATTCACTCGAAGTCACCGAGCAAGAGACTTAAGTGATGGGACCAGACCCCAACCTAGGGCCTTCCTGCCCCTTCCCCCCAAGCTACATCTTAATTACTCTATGAACTTGCAAGAAATACATTTTTTTCAACCCTATCTGCAAAATATTTTCAAAATATTCTACAAATCAGACCTGTCACGAGTTCAGACAGGTCCTCTTCCCCAGGAAGTGTATGGACTGCTGAGATGTGAATGGTCTCCAAGGATAACCCCTTATGAGGCCCCTCGCAGAAGTGACTGGCCACTTACCTTTACCTCCATGTGGTTCCGGGAGATCTGGAGCAGGCAGCCCAGCCCCACTCCCACCAGGATATCTGTGGCCCAGCTCAGGAAGCTCTGTGGGAATAGCCATCTGTAACCCAACCACGTGGCCCAGCCCTCCACCGGCTTCCCCAGGCTTGGGATGCCATGGCCAGAATAACTTGGCTTTCTTTACAATCTATGCCCACCTCTCCAAAAAAATCCTGTCTGAGGAGACCCTCTCCAGTATCAGCACCTATGGGAAGATGGATGTTTAGTGTATGTTTTGCATTTAATCTGTAAGGATCAGAGGAGGTGCTGGAAATGCTTGGCACCTGCAAACACTCAGCAGGTGGAGAAACTGAGGCTGGGTGAGGTCGAGGGACCTCCCACAGTCCCTTGGGGAAACTGGTGATGGAGCATGGGTCAAGGCCATTTCTAGGAGTCGTTCAGGGCTCCATCCTTCCCACCCAACCTGAGAGGGCAGGAGAGGCCACAGCCCAAGAGCCAGGAGCAGGTCTCAGTGTGCAGAAAAGGGCCACAGAGGGCCCTGCTCAGCCAGGGAGTCACAAAAGGCAGACATGCCCGCATAGTGCTCACCAATCAACTGGGTTTGCCAGCCAGCTGCCCACACTGTTCACCCTCAGGCTCTGCCATTGTGCAGCTTGGGCACAGCTGCACTTCATGTGCTTTTTAATATTACTTTACTTAGAAACCAACAACGTCTATGCTTGTTGAATGTCTGTCACGTGCTAGGCACTGTCCTGGGCACTTTACTTCATCTTCCATCTTCACCCAAACCATTTTTAATTTACAAAGGAGATGGCTGAGATTCAGAGAGAATAAGGCATGCGTGCAAAGTCCTCAGATCACATGGCTGGCATGTGGTGGCACTGGAACTGGAACCCACCACCATCTGGTTTCAAAGCCCTTTCTTTTTCACAGCCCCAGGCATATTGTCCCTGGCTGTTCTATACAGACCAGGGGTTGGCAAACAAGAGCATTCAGGCCAAACCTGGCCCACTCCCTGCTTTTGTTTATAAAGTTTTATTGGAATAGAGCCACAGCCATTTATTTATGTATTGTCTATACCTGTTTTGTATTACCACAGCAGAGATGAGTAGTTGAAAAGAGATCGCATGGCCCACGAAGTCTAAACATTTACTCTGTGGCCTTTTAAGAAAAAATCTGCCAACCCCTGACATATACCATGACATGTCCCTATAAACAAGAAGGAGAGGGTTTTCCATAGGTCACATATAAGCTCACTGTGGGGGCCTCTACTGATAATCCCACTCTCCAACAGTGCTTATCAAGTGCCAAGAATTTCTGTCACCTCACTCGATCCCTACAACAACGCTGGGAGGTCAGTGCTGTCAACATCCCCCTTTTACGGATGAGGAGCCTGAGGCTCAAGCAGCCACGTCACCTGCCCGAGGTGTTCCACCAAGAGCCAATCCTGAGGGTGGCCATGGAGCACATCCATGGCTCTCAGAGGCCAAGACACCAGCACTGAGGCCAAGGGCAGCCCCACAAAGGATACTGAAGATGATGCCACCAAAACAGGCCGAGAACGCCATCCGCGGGTAGCCCTGGCGGGCCAGTGTGAAATCTGAGAAGGCATCTGCATGGAAACAAGAGAGGGCCTACAGTGTGGAGTAGCTTCCCCCTGGCCCTTTGTGGTCACAGGACCTGGCTCCTTAATTCCTTTTTTTTTTTTTTTGGTGGCTGGCAGTACAGGGATCGAACCTGGATCTTGGTGTTATCAGCACCACGCTCTAACCAACTGCGCTAACCGACCAGTCTCCTTAATTCCATTTACCCTACTCTTTCTCACTAGGAACAACTTTGTGGGTGTGGTATAACATACTGAGACCGACATTTTACCCAAGTCCTGTCTGATGCTAGCACACAGAACACCTCTGTGTGAATCAGAAAAAGGTGGAAGGAGGACTGAACTTTAACAGTGCTTAACCTGGCCAACCTCACCTGGCTGCTGTAGCTAGAGAAGGGTATATGTATGTATATTTGTATGTATGTGCGAATGTCTGCACATGTCACACACCCATGTATGCATTAAGCATAGTTGACTGCAATGGGCTCCATGTCCTGCCTGAACTCTGCGGAGCCATCCAGAGTGTACACGCATCAGAGAGTGGTGAAGAGGCAGGGACCTCTATGGAGTTTCCTGGTCTAGTTACAGTCCAGGCCATCTCACCTCAATGCCCAATGATGGTCACTCCACAATGACAGTGGGCATTGAGGACAAATGTCCTGGACACCCCTGTCCAGATGCAACTCTGGCTGGGGAACAAAGAGCCATGATTGGCTACATTCACCCCAGAACCCTACCCAGCCCTGAGTCACCTCCGATGCTGTTCCCCCAGGCCAGCAGTGTGAGCCCCAAGACGGTGTTGCTCAGCCGGAAGACCACACCCAGGGACCGCAAGATGTTCACCACCTCTGTGGCAGCCACGTTGATCCACAGGGCGCTGGTCAGAAAACCCAGGAAAGCAAAGAGCTGCGGAAAAAATGGTGTGCTGATGGGACCAAGGCCACCTTGACAGGGCCACAGCTCAGTTCCTCATCTGTGAAACTAGTGGAACCAGAGCCTGGGACAGGGAGAAGATGGGCAGTAACTGCCAATGGGTACAGAATTTCTTTCTGGGATGATAAAAATGCCCTAAAATTGACTGTGGTGGTGGCTGCACAGCTCTATGAATATAATAGCCATTAAGTAGGTGAACCATACGGTAGGTGAACTACATCTCAACATAATAAAGCTGTTACAAAAAAAACCCAAAAAACAAAAACCCTGAACAGGTAAAAAACCCTCAAAAGTGGCTTTTAAATTCAGCTAACATGTCATCGTGTAAAGTGATTACTGGCCAACTGCCCCAGAGATGGTGATAGGACGTCTGCCTGGGAGACCTCAGTGTCCCCTCCCCACCCTGGATTCTTACCCAGTGAAGCTTAGGGGGCTCACTGTTGGATGTGGCAAAAAAGGTCACTGAAGCCAAGGCTGTGCCTGCAATCACCACCACGGCCCAGATGGGAAGGAGGCCGCCTATCTCATAGACACCATCTGCAGAGGGACAAAAGAGGGAGCTGGCACTCTCCACAGCTTCAGCTCGGCACCTCCTCCTGGAGACCCCCCCAGAATAACCACGGATAAAACCCACTTACAATTGATGGTTTGGATATAAGGTAGATACTGCATATGTGTCTAGCCTTGTCCTAGGCACTTCAGGGAAACAGACAAATTAAAACGCAGCCCCTGCCCTCAAGCTAGTCACATTTAAAAGAAAAGACATACCTGTGAAAAACAAACTCTCCAGGGCCGGCCTGTGGCTCACTCGGTAGAGTGCGGTGCTGATAACACCAAGGCCGCGGGTTCGGATCCCATATAGGGATGGCCGGTTTGCTCACTGGCTGAGCATGGTGCTGACAACACCAAGCCAAGGGTTGAGATCCCCTTACCGGTCATCTTTTAAAAAAAAAAAAGAAAAAAACTCTCCAGCCTTTTGTTGTGGCACTAGGATGCAACAGGCTAAGACTACGTACCACCATTACTCTCTCCCACCTCCATGACAGACATCACTAATCAACCACAGTGCTTCTCTCCAACTGAGCTTCAAGGCTGCACCCTCCAGCCAGGCATTACCAATGGATCAGCATCACTCAGTGAGATGAATCATACGGTCAAATCCAGCCTTATCTACTGACTCAAGCCCAACACCTGCTTTCTTTCTTTTTTTGGTGGCTGGCCAGTACAGGGATCTGAACCCTTGACCTTGGTGTTATCAACACCACACTCTAACCAACTGAGCTAACCAGCCAGCCCCACACCTGCTTTCTTGATAAGTCCACTCCACTCCACAAACCAATCCAATAACATGTTATGAAGGTTCCAGAGGCTTCATACTAAAACACCAAAGGGTGGAACCCTACAGACAGGAAGAACACTCTAAAATTCTACACACAGCACCCTTTTCACCCCTAGGGAGTTGGTACCAGTCCTTAAGGAAATGAATGGTTCAAATGCCCAGGTACATGCATCAAGACCTTCCTTTTGTTCTTTCTTTAGTCTAGCTCATTGGCTATCACGTCAGTGGGCATAACAATTACGTGAGGGGGCTGAATCCACAAAATCGTGTACACGATACATTATGGGTGAATTTCAGTATGCAGTTTTTACCTGTAGTGCTGACTTTGGCACCTGACAGCTGGGTAAGAAGCCCTTTCTCTGTAATTGCCAAGCCTGTGCTAGAGGAATTTTAGGAGGTGTCTGGGGTATGGGGTAATCAGAGAAGGGATCTTTGGAGCACTGAGGGCGTGAGCTGAATAGTCAGCAGAAAGTGCTGCAAAGGTTCCATTGGAAGAGAGGGGCTTGGTGGGAAGGCTGAGCAGGTTTGTGCCAGGAATAGCAGAGACAAAGCTGTGGGAGGCAGCTAGCTCAGAATCTCGGGGGGCCTCGATGACAGGAGGGACGTGGACTTTTTCCAAGAGGCACTGGGAAGCCATAGAGGTCTTTGAGGAGAGCAGTGACCACATGTGAAAGGTGTCACTTTAGTGGGGGTGACCTGGAGAGGGAAGAGGCTGGCAGCTGGTGATGAGTTTAGAAGGCTACTGCTGGCTGACTCTCCTTGAGTGACAACACCCCCTTAGGCTAGGAGCTGAGTCTGGGGGTTCTATTTTTTTTTTTTTTTTTTTTTTTTTTTTTTGTGTCCGGCAACGGATCGGATCGCAACCCTCAGTGTTGCCCCCGTACCGGACCGGGGACCGGCAACGGGATTGCAACCC